GAAAACACATCATCATGAGAAGTTTCTACTTTTCTTCCTCCTATAATTCCTCTATAAATTGCTTAATTTGTATATTATAACTGAACACTTATATAAGTGTCCACCCTTTTTCTGGTAGCCATATTAAAAGAAATCTTTGGAACCTGAGATCCTCCAATTCTGCCAACATAAATTATAATTCTTGATTGACCAACTCAACTTAAAATTCTCATTAGTCAAGTATCCAAAGAAATTGTGTTTATAGCAAAGTAAGTAACGTATAAAACAACCACCAACCAGGAAGACCCAAAGAAGTGCATGGTTGTGCTTTGAAAGTCTTAAACTTTTACAAGTGCAAGCAACACATTCCAGTGCATGGGTGTCCTTTATTTAGAGATCTTGCTTACTTTTTAAATGGACATTAGCACTGCATTAAGTAGAGGGTACACGGTTGTTTTTAATGCCTCAGCTTCTGTATGTATAATCCTCAAGCTCAGAGCCTTCTCTTGTGGCTGTGGCAATGAAGGCTTCGTGGTTTTCCTGTTCCAGGTGGATGTCCTCCCTGGGGAGGAGGATGACAATACTCTGGTGATCCTCCGTATCGGGCATCTCAAGTACCTGGACCCCAGACTCCTTTATGAAGTCCAATTTCAAGTGTTCTTGCAGCCTCATCATCTGCAAAGCTTTGCTCTGGGACTGTAAACCTAAACACAGTGAAACAGCAATACTAATGCCTTCTTGTTTTTCCATTTAAGTCAGGAAATCTACATTTATATTCATCCTCCAAAATTGTCCACATTGAGTATTCAAAACAAAACCACTCATCTTTCCACAGAATTTATTGTGATGATTTAAAGGTGACAGAAGCCTAAACAAAGAAGCGATTGAAGAACAAAGGATATTCTGTTTTTATTCAACTATCCTTTCTTGATGCCCACAAGCAGTTAATTCACTTCAAAGAGCTAAGAAATATGCACCATAAGATCTTATCAGGATAACCATTTTTAAAAGTCAAATAGGTTCTTCCAAGAATATAACTTAGAAATCTCTCCAGCTCAGGTAAAATCTGATCAGTCTGCAGCATTGAGTTGCAGATTACAAAAAGTTATGTCAAGAATGTAGAACTCAGGTTCTACATAATGATGCCATTTAAGGAAATTTAGTTATGACTATAACCTTTTTTTATGTTTATCTCTTTGAAATGCCTATTAACTGGTTAAAGATATCTATATTGACCAGATTTTACTGAGAAATTAAAGATTCTGTTTATTAATTGTTTTCTCTAGCAAGTCTGTTTGTTTTCAGTGTATGTTTAGCCCTTTAAGTATCTCTATGAATCCTGCTAAAATATTTCACTCCATCTTCGTAATATTATGATCCCCTCAACTGGGATGATCCTTGAACAAACCTATAGAAGCTACTTAAAAATACATATACTCACGCGGCAAATCAGAATCTTCAGGGCTGTGGTCCTGGAAATTTATATTTAAAAAAAAGAGCTACAAAATATATAATTTCATAATTTGTCTTATGGTCACAATATCTGATGGCAATATTCTTTGGAAAGAGAGTTCTAGATACTTCCAGAGGTGACTGATGTGTTTGGCTAGAGAATTATATTTTTTCTTAAAGTCATTCACTATTCCTTTTACAGAAAAAATATTTATTCACAGGTATAAGCTCTCCTAATTTTTACAGTTCACTATAAAAAATTTTTAAATTGACCAATAATTTTAAATATTTGTTGGTAATACATCTGATAGAGTGTATACATTTGATAGCTTTAGGACTTAATTATAATGTATAAACTCATTCTTTCATGTTAAATAGCATGTTTTGTTTTGATTGTAGTCTGCTCTTTGAGAGGCACTAAGGAAAGAAGTTGGAAGACTAAGGTTGGTAGGACAGTGTACATGGAACCTTTTATGTTGACTGTGTATCTTGTTCACCAATGTTGATGTACTTCTTAAGATCACACCCATTCTATGATCTGCCTGGTGTGTTGTTGTTGTTTTTCTGACTATTTTTTTTTTTTTAATTTTAAAAATTGTTTCAATTAGTTTCAGGGCCTGCCTCTTTATTCCAGGAATGTCTATTAGTTCTTCCCCATCATCTGACTTCATTTCTAGTTTTAAGTAAGTAAATTACATCATAATTAAGGTTAGCCCAAAGCCTAAATGTACTGTAAGGCCTTTGAAGGCCTCATATTTTTTACATCAGTATTTAATTTTACAACTACGGTGCTAAAAAGCAGCATTTCTCCTTTCAAAATATGATAAAAGTATTATGATGAATTTTTGTTAAGGTTCAATAAATCTTTTAAATATATTGAAAATCAAACCTGCACTTTATTGAAAATATAGCAAGGAAAGTCACTTGGAAATTAATTTACCTACTGAAGGCCAGAAATAATTTAACAAAATTTAAGGGGAAAAACTTGGAGGTTTGTCTTTAAGAGAAAAGCAAATTAAACCATGAGACTAACTCATCCAACCTGAAAGCCATAGTTTTGGTGTGGCCTTTCTGAAATGCATATGTCCAGGTCCCTCCACAGGAGATGGCATGAACCAGCACTAACTGAGCAAAGATGTGAGTGAGGCTTCTGGTGGCAAGGGGTCCTTGATTTCACCTTTGGGAAAACAATCAGTAGGATCACACCTGGTAATCCATGAAATATGAGTTATTTTCACTAGTTTTGTGTTGAATTGACATAACTGCACTCAATATCTTCAGCTGAACTAAAAAGATTTTTGAGCAAATATGTAAAGCACTCATACTTATTTAATAAATGAAGAGCATAGGCTGCAGAAGAAAACAAAGTGAGTGGATAGCCTATCTGCTTTCTTTATGGCTATGTACAAAATTGTTGGTTAAGTTTTCTTGTCTGTCTCTTTTAATAAATGCTATGTTTCTCTTTCTTTGGTAAAATTCTTACACTAATAATAACTTGGATTCCAGATAAAACAAAAGTGTAAGGGAAAGGACCATGAAAATCTCCTGAGGAATGCTTACATATTTTCTTATACATATACTTACATGCACTATCTTACGGTGAGAAGGATCTTCTTCAACAATCTGTACACCTTAGGAAGATCAAAACATCTACAGAAATGGCCTCCTTTATCCTGGAGCTCTAAAAGGAGAGATTCTATTGATAAGGTTCCAAAAGGAACTTCTGAAAAGGAAAACTAGAAGTTGCTGAGTTGGAGTGAGACTATAAATAGAAAAGTTGTAATTCTTTCTCCTGACAACTTAACTTATAGAATGTCTTGCCAATGTTGGAAAACAAACTGTAATGTCCCTGGGCCAAGGGGTGCAGTTCCAGTAAAGCAGCCTAAAGAACTCCTACACAGAGAAGAGCAAATTTAAATAATTTGGCTGGTGGGTGGTTGATGTCTTATAGGGACCAGAAATGTTCCCCACTTCCTTGAATAGCCATCACTCTTCACATCAACATGGAAGTAAAATCCTTTAAGACATCAGTAGCCAAAGCCGGTTTGGCTCAGTGGTAGAGCGTCGGTCTGTGGACTGAAAGGTCCCAGGTTCAATTCCGGTCAGGGGCATGTATGTTGGTTGCGGGCACATTCCCGGTAGGGGGTGTGCAGGAGGCAGCTGGTCGATGTTTCTCTCTCATGGACTATTCTAGCTCTCTCTCTCTCTCTCCCTTCCTCTCTGTAAAAAATCAATAAAATATATTAAAAAAAAAAAAAGACATCAGTACATTTCTGTTGCCTGTTGTTCTATAACTAGGAACGGAGTGGGGAGCAGGCAAAAATTTGGGGTCAGGTGGGGTTCAAGTTCACAGAAAACAGAAATAAATGTACAGACCAAAACGTGTTCCTCAGAGTCTGTGAGGCACTTGACCCACTGTTTGTTGTTGTTCCCCCCACCCCCCACCTTTTGCCCAACTCTTTAGGAAGCCTGTTCCCTGGTAAATCACATGGTCACCCTACAATCAAAAATGTTCCTCTGGCTATGCCAGGTTATTCTAATTGGATCCACATAATCCAATACACATGAAACACAATTAGTTGAAATGGGCCACCAAGGGTCTTCATAAGAGAGATCTTTTAAATCAGACACACTTGAGTTTTAAAATGAACTTTGCCTTTTGTCATACATGTGAGTAACTAACTTGACTTCTCTGAACCTAGTTATTAAATAGGGATAATAACAGATACAACAAGGTTGTTGTAAGGCTTAAATGTAATAATGAAAACAAAGCTTCTAAATAGAAAAATTATTCAATAATGTTTATCTTTCCTCCTCCATTCTAAGAATTATGGATTTAACTCAAAGAGTCACAGACTTGAGAAGAAAACTACCAGGCTCCCAAATTAATTCTACAAGTGAAAAACAAAAATCTTCCTAAAGATAGAGTCCAAGAATATGTTATACTTGAATGGCAGTTGGTGGGAATGGAGGTAATCAGAAAAAACAGTTTCTACCCAAAACTCAAACCACTGCATACCAGTTAAATTCACTCCCTGCAAACGTCTCTGAAAGACATCATAGTTATTTCAGGAGTGGCAGGTTAGTGACCAAATTATTCTTGTCAGGAGATACTCTACATCTTTACAATTATGTCACATTCACTCATTCATGCCATATTTATGGATTCCACAATATTTGTTGGAAGTCAAGTATCTGCCAGGTCTAGCACAAAGCATCACAGAGCCATGCTATAGGCTACTAGGAAGTTCAATGTGGTCTACTGATTCTCAATTTATTTTTAATCTGTTTTATAAAGCTACCTTGACCTATTACAAATATACATAGGTTCTAATCTTTTCCCCTTATGAATTTAAGTCCTCATATTTAAAATTAGCTCATCGACCTATATAAGTAGATGTAAAAGTAACTTTCATGTGTAATACATTAGCAACATTTAATCAAGTCAGACTGATATTTGTAAATCATTCTTTCTTTCTTTTTCATAGCTTGTTTGTTCAGCCTAGAAAAAATATATATATATTGCTGGCCGTCTCACAACTGGTCATAGGAGAACAATCACACTGGTGTAGTTATGTTATTTTTCTTTATTTTGATAAGTAGAGAAAACATGTAAACTATACAGCATATGAAATAATACACTGTACATAACAACTGGAAACAGTTATTGTAGAAAGATATTTAATATTTGAAAAAACTATGTACATACTAAGTGTCTATCAAAGAAAAGCCAAAAGAGATTCATTTACTTGAAGTTATTAATGAAATATTTTGGTTGGCCCCCAAACCCAAATCCTTATTTTTTTCGATTTTAGATTAAGAGACTGTTTTCACATCAATGTTCAAGTAATGTCTTCTTAGGTCAGCAAGGAAAAGTGATCCTTCACACTTATTTCTAACAGGTGGGCTTATTTTCTAGATTATGTACAATAAAACTAGATTATCCGGGACACCTAGAGGTTTCAGAAAAGATCTCCAGGATGACATCTACATTGTCATTACCAGTGGAGCACATGTCCACAATTCCCAGAACTCTGTGCAAGTGGCTATGGAGTAGACTGGTAGAAATGAGTGTGGGTAGAAAAGCAATGAAATTATAAATGGGTGGGGCAGATGGAGGTAGAAATGCTAAGAGCAAGGTGGGGATAATCAACCAGGTGTCAGAGAAGGGTCAAGTCACCAAAGTCCTCTGCTGACCAATGTTAGAAGAAAGTAACCTAAGGGGAGCTCCATATGCTTCCCATCTATTCACACGTGGTGGTTCCTTGATATTGATGAGACTATCATAATAGAAACCAATTGGATTGTCAAGGGCAAGAGACTTTGCCACTAAACAAGATGATGTCATTCTTCCTGATGACAAATAAGAACGGGTGATCAGCCTTGAACAGGGTAGACTCAGGGAGTTGCTTTTCTACGATGGTGTTTTCTGAGACAGCAGCCGCCTCTGTGCCATCCTCGTTAACTTCTATGTACGACTCGTGCATCAGTTTTGACAAAGATAAACGACCTCCTGAAGCTATGCCAGAGAAATCAGCTCTGGTTTCATCAAAGATATCTCTCAGCCCCAAGGCTTGTAAATAACGTTTAATTTCGTATTTCTTCTCTATCTTGAACTGAGGAAGAAACACCTTGACGTACCGGTGATTCATTTTTTGGGGGCTGGTCCATTTCATTAGATTTTCGAAGCTCAGCTGGTTTTCAATCTGTAGGAATATTCAAAAGGCAATTTAGGACCCCATGCTTAAAAAACAACAACTACAAAGATATAGGGCTTTTCATAATTATCCTCTCCCAGACACTGTATTTATGCGTAAGTATGTGAATAGGCCCTGGAGATTTTGGAAATTGGAAATAATTAAAAAAAATAGTTCAAGCACTCTTTCATAAATCACATGCTTAATTTGCTTTGCTATGACAAGGTGTGACTTAATTGTATTCCGGGGACTTTCTATTCTCTGCCTACATATGAACATGTGTGGCCAACGTGACACAGTGAGCTGATGAAGGAACTAGGGGATCAGAGATCTTCAGAGGGAGAAAGGAACTCAGTAGTCATTTAAGTCAGTGTTGCCTGACCATTTTCTCGGGATGGATGGCAAAGAAAATGGTATTTGCATAGCTTGCTGGAGTAAACTAATGGATTTAAGGAAAGGAGCATAGAGCTCCAGCCTCAAGGACGTGGGGGATCAATAGCTGCCAGCACGGTCACCCATGCTATCAGGGAGGCTTGGGCCCTAAATACCTCTCCTACTGGACCCATGGGAGGACTGAAACTCAAGAGAATGTTGGGAGATGTGCCCAAAGTACACATGTAGGAAACTTAGTTGTATAGCTAGGAGCTCCTGTCTTTCTCCAACACCCTTGCTGACCCCAAATGACTCACATATTAAATTCACTAATTCCGGAGAACCGCTCATAGGTTAATGGGAAGATTTTTCATGTATATTGTTTCCAGATCTCATATATGGACATTTACCCTCAAATTCAGGCTCACTGAAATCATTAACAGATTTTCACAGCTATTCATCCTTATCTGTATTCTTATCAAGAATCCAAATTTACAAGCAAATTTAGTCTTATTTAAATTTTCTATAAATTATCCAGTTTGAAGTTAATAACCTGTAGTAACTTTTTATTCTAGATTTGTTTTTCTCATTTAGCCCACTGCAAAGCCAGCTTCCTCATTATTATTTAGTAATATAGGATTGTGTAGTCGATTCAGTAGATATTAATACTAAATACCTAATGATCCACACATTAGGGGAATCTATTACAGGAAAAGATGACTCAGACAATAAGTACAAAAACAAATCTATCTTTTGAGTTACCTCCTGCTTGTTTTATCTAGGCTATCTTTTCTATCATTGCAGATTATTTGAAGTTAAAATATTTGATATGTGCTAAAATCTCATTGATATAACAATGCTTGGCACATAGTAGGTGTTCATGAAATATTTAGCAAATAAATGAATAAGAGGATAAATCTCTAGCATAACAACAACCTGAAACCTTAAAACTGAAAAATGAATACACGAGTACCAGTATCCCAAAAGTCGTCCCCAGCGGTGGGAGTGAGGGTGGTAACTTACTTCGGAGAGGTTTTCACTCTGAGGCAGCATGATGTACATGCTTATGCCTCCCTGATATCTGAGTTCAAGAACTTGCATATGCGGGTCCTGAATGACAGACATATTGAACATCCGTTCTTGGTACATCATCGCAACTGCTTTCCCAGGACACTGGAAGTCAAGTCACAAAAACATTTTGATGAGCCCACCCGTTTCACTTATTAACCAAGTACAAAAGAAAAAATGTTTTCCGTTTTATTCAGTTGATCCTGTAGGTTTTTCCTCACATGTTACCATTGGTGCACATCTTAGTGGTGAAAGTATAGACTTTAACTGCCTGAGTTTAAAACTCCCCAGCTGTGTGACCTTGGGCAAGTTATTTCACTTCTCTGTGCCAGGGGAGTCCCAGGTTCAATTCTGGTCAAGGGTATATACCTTGGTTGTGCACATATCCCCAGATGGGAAAGTGCAAGAGGCAGCTGATCAATGTTTCTCTCTCATCGATGTTTCTAACTCTCTATCCCTCTCCCTTCCTTAAAAATAAATAAATAATGAGGATAATAATAGTCTGTACTGCAAAGGGTTATGACAGGGTTATCTAGCATTTGGAACTTTGCCTTGCACTTAGTGTTTTATCTATAATGTCTATATAATCCTATATAATAAAACTCTGATATGCAAATTGACTGAATGGCAGAACGACTGGTCACTATGATGTACACTGACCACCAGGGGGTAGATGCTCAATGCAGGAGCTGCTTTCTGGTGGTCAGTGCATTCCCACCGAGGGAGCACCACTCAGCCAGAAGCCATGCTCACGGCTGGCAAGCACAGCAGTGGTGGCAGGAACCCTCCCAGCTCTGTAGCAGGTGGGTAGTAAGGAGTGAGGGATCCCAGACTGTGAGAGGGAATAGGCTGGGCTGAGGGACATTCTACCCCATGCACAAATTCCATGCACCAGGCCTCTAGTAAGTAATAAACAATTATTAAATACCATTATAATTTTAAATGACTGCTATAGATTTTTTTTCCCTTATCAGAAATAAAATACAACCCTGTACAATCAAAATTACAACATTTAAGAGTGAGGTCTTATAAAAAAAAAAAAAAAACTAGAGGCCAGGTGCATGACATTTTTGCACTGGGTGGGGTGGTCCCTCAGCCCAGTCTGCACCCTCTCCTAGTCTGGAATTTCTTGGGGAATGTCTGACTGTTGACTTTTGCCCACTCCCCAGGGAGAGTGGGCCTAAGCTGGCACTCGGACATCCCGTGAGGGGTCCTTAGCTGGCTGCTGAGGAGGCAGGAGAGGCTCCTGACTGAGAGGCACTCACCCTGTGGAAGTGCACTGACCACCAGGGCAGCTCCTGCATTGAGCATCTGCCCCCTGGTGATCAGTGCATGTCATAGCAACTAGTCATTCCTCCATTCAGTTTGCATATTAGCCTTTTATTATATAGGATTATTTAACTTTTATAAAATATATCGCTCAGATTAACACAGTAGGTGTAACCTTAAGGACTACAATTTGCAGATTTAGAAACACTATAGAAGTGTCATAAACCATCCTTTTCCTAAATGATATTGTGAATCTGCGAAGCTGTCATCTTGCCTGTCATATCTCGCTTTAGTACAGAAAATTCTATAGGAGGAGGAAAGGTAATGATTTGTGCTGAAACCAAAGGCCCTTCTCCCTCTGGAAAGAATATCCATTTTGACTGAAAGTTTGAACATCATAAGTAACACACCTAAAGCAGTAAAGTGGAAAAGGCACCTGCCTAGTGAGACAGATCAGCCGAACTGAGCCTGGTGCAAATGGGGGCTGATGTCAGTCAAAATATCACTTTTCCATGCCAGGGCAAGAATCACACAGCTGAGTTATGCTGGAGAAAGACTGACACAATAATACTTTTTAGCAAAGAGGTCACTTCACTAAAACTGATGCAGTGATATAGATTCCATAGTCTGTTAGATGCTGTATATCATAACTATATTATAAGGGACATGCAATGGGCAGGAAGATTATTTTAAAGAATTATTACATGTTAACACTTATTTAAGTAAAAACTTCTTTAAAAGAAAATAACCCACAAGCAGTGCAGGGGACAGGCCCACTGTGTCTTCATTGAAGGAAATGAATCAATAGAGTCTACCTGGGAGGCACTGAAGGAAAATTGTGAACAATTCCAGCGGTTCCTAAAGTTCTAGTACTGCCTAATATTCTTCCTATTCAATTATACAGATAATGTCTATAGAGACAGCTGCATTCTTATTAGGATTTATTACATTATTATTTTTTCACATACAAATTTCAAAATATTTCTGTGCTCTTCTGTTCCCATGGAGACACTTGCATTGTAAACTTCCGCCTCAAGGTTGTGTTAGGACCCTGCAGTCAGGGACACAAGGCAGGGCTGGCTGTGCTCCATACAAAGGGCAGTCACCGAGACAAGCCAGATAGTCAGCCTATTACCTTTCGATTCTGTATTTATGCCTTCTCCTTCCTCTCAAATATCTCTGAAATGCCTTCCTCCTGCCCTACCTGTGGTTCCAGTCTGCCTAGGTGACCTTTCGTTCCCCACCTCCTCACTCATCCAATGACCTCTCATTTCTACCAGCATTCTGTCTTAAACTTCTGATGAGGGGAAATGTAGAAAGGACATTTCAATTGTATTTTGCACTTGAAAAATAAAACTAAGTTTAAAAGTCAAATCTGAATTTCTCTACCTCAGCTTAATAGACTGGGTGATTGAAAGAGAAATTAGAGAAGCTTTATGGAATCACTGTATTTCATTTGTGAGGAGGTCTGCAATGGTTGGTTAACTTGCTAAGACAAGGCAGTGTCTATGAATTGAGGTGAGGATCCCGATGTGGTATTTCTGACTCCAAGGCCTTTGATGTTTCTACTATACTAAGGTTATTATGTACAAATTGATCTAATTTTTTTAAGAATACACACTTTAAAAGATTGTTTTAAATCAAGGAGAATTAAATTAAGGAACAGATATAACCAATATTTGGAAATGCATAACTTTATTAAATATAATTTTATGTTATATAAAAGGAGACACATAGTTGCCTTGACTCAGGGAAAATCATTTATATTAAATGACTCTGTGCACCCTGCAGTTAGAATCATGAAAAATAAACCTAGACTCTAGTCATATTTTCTTCTTACAGAACCCCTACTGAAATGCCTTCAAATAAACTCGTATGCTATTCCTTTTCTCAATTTCAAATATGTTTTAAGAAATATCAATTTATAGGGCACCTCCAGTTGTATTCTATTACCTGCATTAGCAGGAAAATAGAAAGTTTATCTTATAAGCACTTGACTGTATAATATTGTTAACACACTAGAAAATGAGGGAAGAACTGCTGAATCCAGACTTTGTCTATGTAAACATCACAATTGCTGTTAAGAAACACTATCAGCAAAATACTTCCCAAGTTAAACAGATCTCCATACCTTGGGAGATTTGAAACGGCAGTGCCTAGTGTCGCTCTTGAGGAAGGCCGACTCCCACTTGCCTTTGAAGTACACAGCGTTCACCAGCACCATGACCACCGACGAACTGATGCTACCTTCACTAATGATGTTCTTGATCTTGCCTTTGGAGAAATAAATTGAGGAGGGGAAATGTCAAATATTTAATGTAAGGTTTTTTTAAAAAAAATTAAGATAAGCATATTTTTATCACATAGCTATTATAATAATCTATGAGCAATTAATTACTCCACCAAGCATTTTTTAAATGCTGTATATGCAGTATTTAGTTTAATCCTCACAAAATCCCTGTGCAGCGGGACTATAATTATCAAAGAGACTTGAGCAGAGAGAAGGTAAGTAATATGTACAAAGTCTCGCAACAAGAAATACTGCCAAGAGGATTCCGATCCAGGAAGACAGTTCCCAGATCCCCTCCCTATTCACAGGCACCAAAATGCCTTTATTAAATTGACCAGGTCCCAGCAATCCAAGTATAATTTTTACCCATTCTAGTGAAAGAGCGAATTCCTTCCTTCATTTCACATTTAAGAGATTTTTGCACTTAACTCTGGGTACTTGAATCACAACAGTGAAAGACAGTCCATGTCATCACTGGGCTCACACTCCAGTACAGAGAAGGCAATGACCAACAGAACAAAGGCACCTGGTGCCAGAGCCACATGCTCAGTTTGCTGGGTCAGAGGCTAGAGGCACTCATCTCTGGCTCGGTGTCCTGCTAAGGGGAGGGCAAGGTGGGGACTGGGAGAACTTCTAGAAAGCCAGGACTGTTTATTCAGACCTAGAAGCCTGGGAGAACAGTGTCTGGAGCAACCCTAATTCATTCTGATGCTACAGGAAGAGTAAAGCTGAAGAAATTAAAGACAAGGGCCAGATAATGAAGAGCCTTCAATGTCTGCTAAGAATTTTGGGTTATCCTGAAGGCAGTGGAGAATTCTTGTTCACTATTCATTGGAAGACAAGAAAGGTCATGGTTTTAATGAATCAGATTTGTCTTTCAAAAGGATGGCTCTGGTAGTGTGTACAGGATGGGGAGCAATAAAACCTACATGGGTTTGCTATAACATGGGCAGTATTTGAAGTGTTTCCCCAAATAACACTGAGTTCATATGCTTATCAAAATGAGAATATTATATATGTATTTTTTGCATAGAAAAGAAATAAATGATCAAAATTGAAAAGAGTACTAGTAATCTCAGACCTTTAAGTACTAAACAGTAAATAGAAGCTCACTCAGTTATTTTTAAAGTACCAATAATTGTGTAGTTTCTCTTGATGTATGAATAGTATATTTGAAACATGTGGTGGCTAATGGTCAAAGTCACCTCTACAGATGTAATGATGAATTATGACAAAAAGAATATTGAGACACTGTATTCTTGGTTGCAGGACTAATTATATGCTATTGAATGTTTGCCTTTTATAGTACAAATCACATGTCTCATATTTCTAACACAGAGCCAGCCTCATCAAATACATGTATATTGTTCAAAGTACAAAACAAAGCCAAGCATTAGGTAAAGAAATGGCTAACATTGGAGCCAGTCAATTAACAAAACAATAAGGAATAGATGTCTTTATTTGCTTTGTACAGAACATTAGCTGTGATTTTGTGTTAAATTGTGAAAGAGACTTACCTATAAAGAGATGTATTTTTTTCTTGAAGGTACTACCTGAAGCCACATATACTATTTTGATAAATAAAAATAACTTTAAAATTAAAACTAAAGAATTAATCCCTTAGAAAAAGCAATAATATTAAATATATTTCTTAGATAGTAGGATGTCATAATTTTAATAAGACCCTTCAGTGCAAGAAGGAACACTAAGATGCTGGGTTGATCATTAGAATGAAATATGTTGTGGTCATTTAAAAATGTCCTATAAACTGCTCTTAATCTTGTTCACTAACCAAGCATAAGATATTGAGGGTCACTGAGTAAATTACCTTAGCTTATAACTAATTTATGAAATGGCCATAATAAAATCTACTGGGCTCACAAGATTATTTCCCAATCAAATGAGAACATGCAATAGCCACGACTTCTTAAAAGCGTAAAGCATTCAAATTATTAAGATTGCTCAACACCACATTACAGACAAATACTAAAGCAATTTTAAATAATAATCATTGCTTTGGATCAGGAAAAGCAGCGCCTTCTGTGTACAAAAGACTCCTAATTGTAATGCTGACAGTTCTCAACATTCACATATAACTGACCAATCCTGTGGGAAAATTGAGCATTGCACTCACCATGTGTCTCATTTTTAACCCAGTTATTAATTTTATATCTGGCATCTTCTACAGCATTTGTAAAGTCAACTCGTTCCACTTTGGCATTGTATAGTTTTTCAGCACACCTAATATATTCCTATAAATACAAATAATATACAGTTCTGTAAGTAATATGCAATTCTTATATTTCCAAATCACCACAAACTAAGTAATGTTTGTATTGTTTATGAATCCAGTAAAATGTTTATAACTCCAGAAAATATTCTCATCTTGTCCTTGGTGTTAAGGCAAAAATATCTGGTATTTTACCAAAAACATTTTATGTAGAAAATTTCTTTTCTAGTTTGTGAAAATGTAGTGAAATACATTTATTGATTTTTAAATGTTAGCTCAAGATTGAATCCTGTCATATTTCTGCATCCTCTCTATATCTTGTATGATTCTTTGCACTTGGTCAGAGCTCAGGAAATGGTTGTTGCATATTGAATGAGGATGGTACATTAATAAAACTTTAGTTTAGCTACCACAAAAATACTATACACAATTTCCATTTTCAATGTATATTGTAGATTCAAAAATACAAGCTCAGCCATGAAAGTTGAGAGCCTTAGAGACTATTAAGTATAATTCCTTCATTATATCAATCAGGAAACTGAAGTTTAGGCATATCAATTGATTTTTGAAGGACACAAAGCAATAAAATGACAGAGTTAGGACTCAGGTAAACCTGACCTTTAACCTGGCACTCTTCATTCTACCTTTAAATGCCTTTAAAAAAATGAATATTGGATTCAGTCATTTGGGAGGCCCTTTGTTACATATAGTACTGCAGGATTTCAGATTGGGAAAGAGTGTTCCTCTGATACTTCTTGTCTTCTTATAGACTACTAGAGGCCCAGTGCATGAAAATTCATGCACTGGAGGGGTGGGGGTTGTCCCTGAATCTGGCCTACCCCTCTCACAGTCCAGGAGCCCTCAGGGGCAGGAGGCAACCCACCAATCAGGGGAAGGCAGTGCCCCATCACACCTCTGCTGCTGCTACTACCAGCAGCACAATCCTCAGCTGGCCCTGGTTACCTATGTCTCAGGCCAGCCCTAGGCGGCTGAGCAGCTGACATTTGAGGCTTGCCTGCATCTCAGGTCAGCCCTGGGTGACTGGGGGGCTGAGGAGATTGGGCTCCACCAGCATGTAGCTGTGGGTGCCGCCATCTTTGAGGGTGTGACAGTCAATTAGCATATTCCCTCCTTATTGGCTGTAGGTGCTGCCATCCTTGTGATGATATGAGGATCAATTAGCATATTCCCTCTTTATTAGATAGGATGGTTCTCTCTTTGTCCCATCAGGGACTGTCTTCTTTAATCAGTGGCCTGGGTGATACTCTTCTCTGTGGTCTGTGTTGATGCAGTCACCTGGTTGAATTGTTGAATTAAGATTTTTTTTATTGTGTGTGTTCCTATGAGTGAAGGGGGAGCTGAGGTTTCCTTATCCTATAACCAATAAAACAGTTTTCTCTCTTTTTTTAAATTGCAGAATAAATAGCTTTCATCATTCAAAGTTCCATTATGGTATCATAATACTTAGACTGTTACTCTTGCTTTTGAAAATATCTGATGGTCATCAAGTTGTGATGGAAAGAGCCCTTGTTGCAGTAAAACCACCTGGGTGAATACTACATGCTAACCTTCAGTTTCCTATACATTTAATGAAGATCAAGTGCATAGCTTTTGATTTGTAAGAATCAACTGCTCTATAAATGTCACTGTGTCATTATCTTCATGTTGGCAAATCATGAGCAGACTTTCAATGTCTCCATTTTTCCAAGTTCTTGATCAGCTCTCACCTTTATTGTGCTTCTAGGTGCCTGCTCTATGTACACACTGAGGGCCAGAAAAGGGAACATGGGACCCTACTATAAATAGTAGCATGATAGACATGTCAACTACCGATTGAAGAGAGTTGACAGTCCTTCAGGGACACAGTAGGTTGCATGGGAATAGAGACAAAAAAAAAATGTGGGGCTGAACATCTAGGGTGGCCCCTGGAACATGTGTCTAGGATTCTTTGGATAAAATTAAAAAACAGCGTGGCTTAATGCTTTATAATTGGCAGGCTGACAAAGGATTTGGGAGTGGTGCTGAAAAGGGGCAAAGAATGTGAGTGGGTGACAGGCAGAGAACATAATAATGGCTGGGTGGAACACAGAGACCTGGGAAGATGCAAGTAGGAATTAGTCCAGAGTTGTCACAGAAGTGCAGTTTTATAGTTATCTCAGAACTAGAAAATTAAAAGGGAGAACAAACATTCCAGAGAAACAGTGCGTCTGTTTGAATAGCACTAAACAGCTTCCAGGTATCACAGCCATCATGGTTCTAGAGTATGGGATGAGCATAGCAATATATAGAGTGCATTCTTATCTCATTGGTATTTGGATGAGAAGATACTAGGATGAATACATTGATAATACAAATACCAAATAGTACTACTAAAATCCAGTCTGCTGACCTCAAGAAAACCTGCCATCCCCCACCTCTGTGTCAAGTCTTAACTGCTCCTCTGCCCATGGCTGGTCTCATCTCTACTACCAGCAACTTTTTTTTATAAATGATTTTACTGAAAAGATAAATAAGTCAGTCCTTCTAAGAGAGATGAAAAGCATGCCTGAGAAAAAAAAAGGAGGTGAATTCCACACTGGAGATGCAAACCTACGCCTGGAGACACAAAGCCCAGAGGAAAAAAATGGCACTTTTCCCCTGCTGTCCAGGAACAACCCTAAGTGGGCTATCTGCTTTCTCACCCCAGTGGCAGGTCCACATCCCATCCAAGGGACATGTTCTCTTTGGTCTGGGAGCCTGTCCATCTAGTGACTCTGAGTACAACCTGGGAATATAATTAGTAGTGACAAGAAGGAAAACACCTTTGCATGGCTGAGTAGAAAGATGCAAGCCCTTATTCAGATGCTGGATTGAGTAAGGCTCAGGTCCAAAATGAAAATAACCACTTAAGACAGAAGGCTGAACTTACCTCATGAAAGTCAAACATTTTTTCTGCAAAAAGACCACTGGCGATGCTGAGTTCATATTCCTTGTGGAATGTGTTTATATCGGAGAGAATTCTTTTCAGCTGAAATTGGAGTCCTGGCTATTATTAAAAAATATTCATAAAAATGTATTATTAGACTGAAAAGATATGCATACTCTATTTATGTAGGATGTGAAACATGTATGTATATTGGATAATAAAATAATTAAAAAATAATGGCACTATAAAAGCATCAAATGAATCTACAATTTCTTACCCTTTTTCACAGTAGTGTCTGTGATCAAAGTTAATTAAAGGATTTACTAAAGTAAATGATTAACCTTAGAATAAAATTATTAACTGAAGACAACGAATTTGCCTACTATGTGCTCTTAATAATTCATTTTACCTATGTAAGTTGGCTGTGAATATCAAAGATAAAAGTAAAACATTTAGTTCCACACTACCTTGCCCAAATCTGGCCAATACACAAGTAAAATATTGGTAAATTAATAATCAACAAAGATAATATTAAAAAAATCATATTTGAAATATTTGCAACATGGAAATCTGAGTGAAACATGTTCCTTTGCTTAAAAGGACAGGGAGCATAATTAAATGTGTCAGTGAGACAGGAATTTTTCTAAATTTAGACTTACAGTCTGTTTTCCTAAAAGAAAACATTGTCTTTACCTGAGTATTAGAAGAGTTTCCATGTCCTGACATGGAATTGGTGTGAAGTACCTGCAAATAGGGACAAAGAAAACAGTTAACAGGTCAGGCTGAACAAGAAGGGACCTGGGGAAATAAAATAAGGTGTGGAGATTTCATTGGTAGTCTGTGTATGTGTGTGTGTGTGTGTGTGTGTGTGTGTGTGTGTGTGTGTGTAGGGAGAGAGAGAGAGAGAGAGAGAGAGAGAGAGAACATAGAGCAGGAAGGAAATGTGCAGCTACCCTATTGACTTGGTTAAAACATGTGGTTCATTGGAAAAAGTATAAATTGAGAGAGTTAAATCAATGGCTACCAATGAAAGTGTTGAATTATTGTAGTTTACTCATTCTGGGGGAGTAATTTAATAAGTACTCACTGATTAAACTTGGACAAGGATAAAAGGGGTCAAATAAAAAGCTTTGTTTAATCATGTGGGAGGCAAGATTAAGGCTAGTCACATGGGGGGGGGAAGCATAATACAGAGAATTGTTATTGACTATCTAGAAATTCCTCAATGTGGAGCTAAACTGGGACTTGGGAGATACAATTTTTGATCCTGCAATTATTTGAAATAAAATAGTTTTAAGCTTTTCCTCTTCCAGTGTGGTTCTCACAACCCCATTATTCTAATAATTGTTCTATTCCCAAGTCTTTATTTTCTGTTGTATTTTAGCTGAATTCCCTAGACCACATGTGTCAAACACACGGCCCGCGGGCCAAATCCGTCCCGCCAGGCCTTGCAATGTGGCCCGCACCGCGCTGTCATCACTGCACTCCGCTGCGTTTCCATCACAATGACAGTTTATGACTGTTCAGTAAACCATTCGGCCTGCAATTTAGGCTGGATTTTAGATTTTGGCCCCTTCTCTGATTGAGTTCAACACCCCTACCCTAGACCCTTACATCTATGGGATCTGAAATGCAAACTCCTCTACGAGGAAGTGATAAAGGGTACTACCCACCTGGCAATCACTTGTGCAAGTGACTGGGTTAAACTGAATGTGTGCTGCCTGGGCTTGGATGGACAACACAGAGAGGCTACCCTGGACTCCTTTAACTTACATTTGCTTTAAATGTCTAAATAGCTGCCAGACAATGATGGAGTTGTACCATAGTCTATTTGTGATTCCTGAAATCTTATTGGTTGGATTTTTTGTAGAAATATGTAGGGTTTTTGTTTTTTTAAGGGACTCTGTATGCTATATTTGAACCATATCCCTAGTGGACAGTGGGAGTAAAAAGAAGGGGAATTTAATTAAACAAGTCAATCTTCTGATCAGTGCCTCTGTGAGGGCTCTTGATCTCAAGGCTTCAAACCCCTAATTCATAGCAACATCATATTGGCTAGGGCACTGGTCAGCAAACCATGGCTCATGAGCCACATGTGGCTCTTTGGCCCCTTAAGTGTGGCTCGGTGTTAGAACCACTTCAAAACAGACTTGCCCAGGCAGAAAACCGACTTGTACTCATGGACCACAAAGTTTCATTCGCACTGTACGTGTGCGCCCGCACATGATACAATATTTTGTCAGAAGAGCCACACTCAAGGGCCAAAGAGCTGCATGTGGCTTGCGAGCTGCAGTTTGCTGATCACTAGGCTAGGGAAAATGGAACAGCTTGGAAAGAGCTATGAAAACTTAACAAGGCCATGAGTGTCACTATTAGTTTTAATAGGTCACAGAGAACTGGAACCTACCACATTGCTAAATCCTCTTAATCTTGAATAATAATATGAGATGGAATGAGAGATAAGGTAAAATCAACAAGGCAGATTTATACAAATTAGTAGTCAACTTAAAATTCTCAGTGAGGTCTTTGCAGTCTGAGTGTCATTTTTCCTTCTAATTGATGTTATGAAGCATGAAGAACATCAGCCCCCTTTCTCATTTTGCTTTGGCCAAACACAAAGATTTTCAATGCTTTAAAGAATGCTATGTAGGGAAGGAGGTGTGGTAAGAGATCAATCAAAGGACTTGTATGCATGCATATAAGCATAACCAATGGTCACAGACAATAGGTGGGTGAGGACATGTGCTGAGGGGCAGGAGCAGTTGGGGAGAGGTTAATGGGGTGAGGGGGGGGAGGAGACATATGTAATCTTTTCAAACAATAAATAATTTAAATTAAAAAAAGAATATTATACAATAGTTATCTCTTCCCAAGTGGTAGAGTTGTGAAGGTCCTTAAACAATTCTGTTTCACAACTTTTGGGTCAATTTCATTGTGACTATGACTCCTCCATTGGTGAACATGGAGCTGGTAACTTGTCTAAGAGAAGAAGGTTCAATGAAGACCTTCCATTTCCATGGAATCATTTAAATTTTTGTTACAAGGAGAGGAAATAAAAGCATGAGTCTTTATAACTTCAATTATATCATTATCATTTTTTTTTCATTCTGCAATGTAACATTTATATTAGAAACTGGATGAGTTTACCTGTCAGTGTCCCTGAAATGAAAACAAAAACGTTGCAAAGAGAAGCTATCACCATCAATCACCTCAGTATAGGAATGGAGAGGGAGAGAAGCCCAGCCAGTGTGTCCCCCGAGCTTGCACTTAGCTGGTCCCTTGTGTGTCTTTCCTTTCTAAGAAGTGGGCCAGAGGTGAGAGGATCAAAACAGCTTAGGAAGAAATATTTAAGCAAAAGAAGGGGGAGAAAGCATTGGAAGTCATAATCACTAATGTGTAACCTTGAGGAAAACATAAATGACTTTGTGGAAAAACCTTTTGAATGATGTATGTCCCTCACCTTTAAACATTTTACTCACTCCCTCATGAAAAGAACCTAGTAGTTAATGTGAAGCATAGCAAGGACAAAAAAAGCTCTTCCTTTTCGGCCAAAATTCCTCCCAAAGTCAGACTAACTGTTTTAAATGTTCTGTAGCTTTATTTTTTAAATAAAAGTAAGAAAGAAAGAAAAGAAGAGTATAGAAAAGAAAAAGAAAAAAGGGTCCTAACATCATTATTGGCTAGATTGGCAAATGGAAGTAAATGAATGTACTAGAAAAATAAAATAGCATCATAAAGTGTCAGGACTCAATGATCCCAATGTCTCTTCTGAGCTAACGTTGTGGGACCCAGACAATATAAAAAGTATATGAATCTCCAGAAATCTTTCTTCACTTTTGAGAAAAACTTTAATAGCATCAATATTTAATATAATTCTTTGATCATTTCTAATTTTACTCCATTTTGAGACTAATTTGGTTGTTTTTTATGACATTTATAATTCGCTTTTAGTAAACTAGACTGATATGCTATTAAGGTGGTATATATCTGTTTCCATATTTTTCAGAATTCTAATTACAGATCCAATAATAAAACTACCATATCTAAAGATGAATAATAATACTAATAATATTTAAATGTGTTCAATGTAAATAAAATTTCAATGGGCATATTTACCATAATTTGAAAAGCTAGGAATCAAAAACCTTAGTGTCCCTATGTAAGAAAGTCAGAATTTCTTTATTTTAAATAACTGGTAACAAATACATTCAGATGATGGCAAAAAGAAAAATTATGGACCTATATCATGTAAGAAATTTCAGGAATTTAGGATTGAGGGTAAAAAAAAAAAAAAAAAAAAGATACTATGAGTCACCTATATCTCAATAGCTTCTACCTGTATTTTCATGCCAAATTACAAAACTGTTATATCTTCCCACAGAAGAAGAATTTATTATAGTAATTATTTTTATAATGTTTTGGGTAAAACACAATTGTATTTTAGAAAATTTAAATTTGTATAACTTTTAAATGATATTATAATATAAAAACATGATTTGGGATAAAAAAAATTATGACATACTGTATTTCAATGGAAATGTTTTGTGAGAGATGAGAGGGGCAAGAAGCTCCCAAAAATAGATTTTTTATATTAAAACAAGAAAATACAGCTAAAATATAGCTAAATAAAAGAATATGAAACTGAAGACATGACTTTGTAAATCAATATACTTTCTCTGGTTCTTTCAAGTAGCTTCCAGGTCACCTTAACTCCACAAAAACCTCACTTAGACCAATCTAGACTTTAATACTATTATCCGGTAAAAGGACCAAGCTTTGCAGAGATAACTGGCCTTCTTTTGAGCCAAGAAAATTAAAGGACTATAAAATATCACTGTTAGTAAGCAAAGATATTTTAGTATCATCTGGAAAAATTATTTAAAAAGAAAAGTTTAAAGGGAATTCTACTGGCCCAACTGCGACCATTTGAACGTCAAAAGAAAAAAGACTTTGGTCCATGGTAGTACTCAGAGGAGACATATAGATGGATGTCATAGTGGGAGGAATTGGTGAATGAAAGGAATGACAATGGCCTCCATGTGTAGCCTGGTGTCTCTTCTGCTGCTAAATTTTGTTAACAAAGTGTGGGAAACCATGACCATGTCACTTCCCAGTGCAGCCTCGCTCAGGGCAGCATAGGAGAGTGAGCTAATGAGCACTTTCCAAAGGTGGTAGTGACGATGTGATGACCATTCGGGGAGGCTGCTATTACCCTAGTGCCCTATTATGTTCTTTATGCCCAGGTCACTTGCATTTCAATTAGTATTTCATTGCTGTCTCCTTGGAGCTTTTCTTTCTCACCCGTATCTACTCAAGCAGTGGTTTCTGAGCTTTTGTGTGCACCTAGGCCCTAGGGCGCTTGTTTAACAGAGATAGCTGGGACCCATCCCCATGGCTTCTGCTTCAGTGGCATTTGCATGTCCAACAAGTCCTCTAGGTGACACCACTGGTCTGGGAAACACTTTGATAACATATTCTAAGAAAAAACAAACAAACAAAGAAAAAAACACACACACAACTCTGCAGTCCTGGAAACATTCTTGCTGACTCCCAGCTGAAAAACAAGGGCTGTGAGCTATGTGCATTCCTCACATGTGGAGAGGGGCTCATTGGTATGTCCTCACTGAGCTGGGACCATTAAATATACTTGGGGCAGGGTAGAAGGAGAACAAGTTGCCCTGAAGATTCATTGCAGAAACCACAACTGAGACTGACCTTATCCATCTGAGCAGCACCATCGCCTCGTGCACCCAAGCGGACCACGGCCAGGGCAGTGAAGATGCTCAGAGAGGAAAAGAAGACATTTCCGTTTCCTTGGTTGTTATCCATCTCTCGGAATAGATTGAAGCAAAATTCTGCATTTACTGCAGCAAGAGAAGCCATTATGAAATCAAGTGTCGCCTGGAGAAGAATAAGGAAAGAAAATGAGTTCCAAGTGTATTTTTTGTGTGAATATAATGGGTGTATATTCTTTTAATTTTTAAAATTTTTCATTTCTTTAGCCTTGGTTGTAACCATTTAATAACTTAGAACAACAACACCAACAAAAAGTTCCTTTGGTCCAGTATTCTTACTGCCAACACTCTAAAACGATCTCTTCTGGCAACCATATTATAATACACTCTTTCCCCCCCCACATTTATATTCTCTAGTGCAATGCTACTGTGTTTCTGTCCACAGTCTCATATTCTTATCTAGGACAAATTCCTATTTCTCCTTGATGGCATTTCTATCCAGTGGCCTCTGATATTTTGTATTTTATTGAATTTATTGAGGTGACACTGGTTAACAATATTATACAGGTTTCATGTACACAATTTTACACTGCATCATCTGTACACTGTATTGTGTGTTCACCACCTCAAGTCAAGTTTCCATCTATCACAATTTATCCCCTATAGCCTCCTCCATCACTCCCACTCAACCTCCCCTCAGCATTTTAAAGTTCTAAGCAGACACATTCATGGGCCTATTCTAAAGTCACCCCAGATTTCTAAGCTGTTTGCAGTACAATAAATATTACAACATTAGACAGTCTATTAAAGGGCTATAGTCCTGGAGATTTAACAGCACTTTCTTGCCCATTGCCTCCATCATAGTCTGCATATAAATTCTTAAAATAATCATACATCCTAACTTTCTTTAGAACCATCCTAATTTCAAATATTATACATTTTTGGTCCTATAAGTATATTTATTATTTTCAGGCCATTTTCTGCTTATTTTCATAATGGAAATGTAATTACCATTTTATGTATCACAGACATCCATAAGACTTTCCAACACAGAGTTCTATCTCTTACTAGAGAACCTAAGGTATAAAAGCAAATGTAGAATCCAGAATAAAAATATTATCTGAATTCTTGATAATGTTGTTTCTGTCCCCACAATGGAATTCTTTGGGAAACTGTTTTGGTATTTTTTGCATACTTTCTCCACTTCCACAGTAGAGGTTACTCCAGACTATACAGATTAACATGAATATTTTAATTATTCCCCTTGTATATTCTGTGATATCACATCTGATAGTGTGGCAACTTCCAAGAGACATGGACCCCTTAAGAGACTCAGTCCTAATTCCAACCCTATTGCTAATAGTTATGTGACCTGAGTCAAGTCTTTAATTTCTCTGAGCTTTTAAATTTCATCGTATTCAATGAAATGATCGATTGACAGGACAGAAAAACATGCGTTCTTCTAACTTACACCCGTAAGAAGACCACACCATAACCGGCATTTGGGGTGAAGGGTCAGGGAATGGGGTGGAAACAAAAGAAGGTCAGAAAGAAGGGCATGCAAGTGGTTTGAAACAAGAATATTTTAAAATTGTCATCTGAGTTTGTTGAAGTCACAAAAATGTAATGCCTTTTAAAATTAAAAATGACATTAAAACAAGTTTTCAGTTTCTATTTTGCCAAATGGGAGCTTGAGTTTAAAAGTAAAATTGAGAAACAACTCTATAAAATGACTGACCTGCTATAGATGAAAGCTGCTACATTTCTTATTCTCTAGAAAATGCTAACAATCTGTTCTGTCCTGTAAACCAACAAATTGAAAGTTTGAGTGTTTGAGAACCCCATATTCTGAACTTTGGAATTTCAAGCCTTGAGAACATCACCAAGGGACAGGCCATAAATGAGAATGTCTTTCAGGATCAAATTTAGCACTTATCAATTCCAGGTAAGTTCCACTCTACAGTTATACCCCCAGGAATACAGGGTGATAAAATCTCCCTCCACACAAACTTTACTCCGAGAAAGAACACCTATGTTCCTTTAATAGCTACCTGAAACACATTTAACTAATTTCACATTGAATCCAGTGAGCAACATTGGCAGTGTCTAAAGTCCCCAAACTTTTCAGGGATTCAAAATCATATTTTGCATCTGAAATATAAGTATTGTTTCTAAAGTATGAAAAATGGTAAAATTAAAGTTAATGAGCATATAAGTAAATACACTAGTTTGAAGCACAAGTTGGTTTTTATATTAAATTTAATAGTCATAAAATTTCTTTAATTTTGGAGAGAAATTGTGAGCTAGATTATCTTGAAACAATTTCTAAGACTTCACGTTGATTGCTAAAAATCATAGTATATGAAATAAATCACTCTTTGAAAACTAACATTAAATGAAAAGTCATAATAATCCTTTTAAACTATTTACAATGAAAATTATATTTAAGAGAGAGTTGTGGGTATATTTTAATATATTTGATATAATATGGACAAGAATCTTTAAAATAAGACCTGAAAGATTTTTAAGTGACCCTGTTAGGGGACCTGACTGCTTGGTCCAATGGTGTCTGGAAGTTACTTTATACTACCATATCCCAAAGCACAAAAACACATTTTCTGTACATTCTTCTTTGCTCAGGCTTCATCTTATCTTGTTTCTTTACAAATTTATGTTTTTCTATTTTACCTTCTGGGATGGAAAAAAAAACAAAAAAAAACTCTTTCAAATCATCCTTTAAGTTACTTTCTAAACAATAATCACAAATTTTCAGTTTCTAATGTTTTAGTCATTCTGGCAACTTTTCACAAAACATACATAACAGAAAAAAAACTATCCAGAAATATGTGGATTCAGGCATCAAGTACATTTTTGTAATCACTTAGATAAGTTTTATGGCAAAGAAACCATACTAGAAAAAATAATCATTACAGAGACATATGAACCAACACATTCCTAGACCATTACCAGTTTTCAAGCAATGGCTTTTAAAATGATAAATGGCACTAGATAATATATCTTTAAGCAATCTTGTGCATGCATGTTGAAAATAAATACCAAAAAGTATGTTCAAGTCACATAATTAATTTTATAAGCTATATATAGGTGCACTGTAAGTTCCAGAAATGAATGCAAGATACTTTTCTTCTCACCTGACATAAAGTTGGAATCCCTTTGGCAAACAGAGAACTATATTTAAGGCTGTCTTAATTGTTTTGCAGCTAGGTTTCCATCCGGGACAGAAAAATAAATGTTAACATGGTACTAAAACTGTGTGTGTGTTTTTCTTTCTCCTTTAATTTCTTAAAACAACTCTTTGAGAAAAACACACAGCAAAATTCAACAAGCCATCAACAAGTACCTGATGAGTTGGGTCCTAGCTAAATAACTAAAGGAAAGTGAAAAGAAAAATAAATAATGTTAAGCTACAGAAAAGATATCATATGATACTACCTTTTATGCCACTGTCAGAATATATTGATGAAGGAAAATTCTTTTCATATGGTAAGCACTTGGCTTTTTATAACTTTATATTTTATTGCAAGCATACCATATTCTTACGTTCCTTACATAAATACTTTAGCTCAATATATTGATATGTAGTTAATTTATAATTTTCAAGTTAATACAACTCAAGTTTTCAGTCCCAAACATCAGACTTGAGGACCTAGAAGTCCACAGAAGCCTGAAGCCTATTTGCTTACTTATGGTATGTTTCAATCCAAGAAATGCTTGATCCCTTTCTTCCTATTGTCAACACAAAAGGATAAGTATGTACTCACTAAAGCATCTTTTAAAATCTGATAAAAAGAAAGAAAAGTAATTTTTAAATAAAGCATAGGAAAAAACAGAGCCAAAACACATTCAATAAAATAAGAACTTACAATGATAATATTTCATGTATCCAAGCTTACTATACTTAATTGATATGTGCCTTAAATGTTTGATTAAGATATTATCTAATCATAGAATAATTTTGTCTATAAAAGGAAAAATAATTATATTTCATGGAATATTACTGAGGAAAAAAACTCCTGTATTTACCAAACCAAAATACACAGATTGGAGAAAAAAATGAATAACTACATGTTATATTTAGCATGTTTAATTTTTATCATTACCATACAAGTTAAGTGCTATAAATAGAGTTACTCCTTTACACAATATTTTCTAATCTTTCCATTTATATTAAAAATGTGGTTTCAAATATTAACAAATCCCTAATCAGATGTACACTTTGCTATGCAATTAAAATAGAGTTTAATTCTAATCTCAGCAATTAGTATATTTCAACCTACAATATTGGAAATATAGAGGCTAGCTTTGTACATAATTCCCCAAATGCTATTTATCATTCCAAGAGTTGAACATGAAGTGTTCAGCTGTCTTGATCTCCTGAATACCGTGCTACCAGGATACCACAGAAAGCCAGCGATAGACAGAGCCATGAGATAAAGAAGTTGAGAACAGGGCCAGGCAACAATTTGGATATCGTTTGATGAGTTTAGACTATCAGATACAGAGAAGGAGCATGATTCATTCACTGCTCTCTTTTGCCTCTCTCACCAGTGTCTGCAAAGACTTTTAAGTTCTGGGCTTCAGAAATATTTACCTTACTTTCTTCATAGAGGAAGTTAGCAGCTGGTTGGGTGAGTCTGAAAGAGTTCCTTGCAGGACTGTGAAATATAAAGCCTCTGACTCAGACACTCCCTCTTTGCTTTTGTGATGACCATAGTAGTTTTAAATAATGTCGTTAAGATGGACTTGTGTTCAGGCCCTTTTTGGAGCAAATTAAAAGAATCAGGTAGAGTATTAGCTACAGATCCCATTCAAAGTAGTCAAATAGATATTTTGTAATGAACCAAATTTCAGCATGAAATTTTACTCATTTCGATATTAATGTCACATTAATATCACAGTTCTTTCCTATTATATGTGTAGATAATCATGCATTGTAGTACAACTGGTATTTTTATATGTAGAAAGGTATGCTTTTCAAATTCAAGAACGGATTTTATTTTAGTTATTGTTTGTTAGATTCCTCTTTATCCTCCTTCTTCTCCTCCAATTCTGTTGCCTAGTAAGGAACATGGAAAAAGCCTCACCTTTAAGGTTTTCTGGTCTAACGGGGCTAAATGTAACTATCACAGAGGAGCATCAGTGCAG